ACTGGACAAAGGGTTTTAAAATGGGAAGAAAATAGTTTGATTGCAAGTTGTTTGGAGGAGATCTATTTTTATTTGAACAGCTGAAGCATGAATACAGTCTTCCAAGGTGCAAACCCTCCTCTTCCTCCTGAAGCCTGTGGAGCTCCTTCATGTACTGCTGTCTTATCTGCTGGCCATCTTCTCTCAGCAGAACTTCAACTGTTGAAAAGTCATTCAGAAGAAGCTCGAGCATGTGACATGGATCCAGGAGAACATGGACTTTTAGTGAGGGGTCTTCAGGATGGAAAAGAAAGAGAGAAAATATCAGTTATTCATTAAATCATTTTTTTTGTTCTCATCTATTTTTCTGTATTCATCTGTGTGTAAGACTACATTTATAAATTCAACAGTGTACTACCCAGACAACAAAGGTACAGTATTCAGGTAATCAACATCTATTCAAAGTTAAGAAGATAAACATTATTGTAATCATGCTGTTTTCAGCTCTCTCACTCACTTGCACAATGATATTCCACATCAAATGGTCTCAGATTTTGTGAGGAAAAATTAAGCAGTTTATTGTGGATAGTACTTCATCTTAACATGAAACAAATATAACCTGAATTATTTAAATCATTAACAGGTCCCAACTCTCTGTGCTTCAGTACAGAACATACAGTAACTCATTTATTATTAACATGAGCTCAGTACATGGCTGTATTCTTCAAACTATTTCTTATACTTTATATCTATGTGCTTTATATCTTATTTTCATTCCATATGTTATTTAGATTTTATATTTCTACTGCTATATTCTGTGTATGAGTTCAGTGAAAATTAATATGGTTATTAATATAGTTCTTAATGGTTACAGATGCTCTTACAAAGTGCATTTTTTTTTAAATTTCTTAACAGTTTGCACAAATCTTAAGACACTACGTCAACCATGTAACTTTAATGTCATCCTCTATAACCTACACAGCACATTAGGTTCAGTTCAGTTTCTGTTACTGACGGATAATTACTACACAAAGTTTGTTTTTTAATGTCCACATTTACGTGGAGTATAACATTCATCATAACGTCAGATAACCACCGAGGTGAACCTTTAGCTTCTAACATCACACAAACTCACTATTTTCAACAACAACATCTTAACAACAAACATTTCTAAACCATTGACCGTAAATAATGTAAATAATGTAAATAATGAGCTACACAGTTAGCCGACTGGTTTACAAGCTAACTCTAAACAAGCTAGGTCCGTAAATATAAATACCGACACGAGTATACAGTAAATATAACATTACTTTATCACTTACCGAAAAAAACTGAAGTATCAACTTGTTGGATGGTCTGTTAACCGCACAGCAAGCCATGTATGTTGTCAGATATGTGTTAAACAAACTCTCCAAATGAAGTAAAAAAGAGGAGAAATCAGACGGATCAAGCTGTTAGCCTCCTGACCTGCTGACCTGACAGACAGATGCAGCGCGCAGAGCTGTCAATCAAATCTGCTACAACCAAATATGGGCATAGCCGTTTTCCTTAATAGAATAAAATCCGATGAGTTATAAAAAAATTCACCCCCCCCCACAGTGTGAGAAGAAGGGGCCGTCAACTTATCAGCTATATCTCGTTTTTTGAACCAGGCTGTAAACATGTTGATTCCAGTGGTAAAAACTGGCTTTTTTGGCTGTGGGCTTATGGCACTTCCAACGCTTCTGCAGCCAGCCTCAAGCGGAACCTCGAGGAACTGCAGTTTTTTGTACTTCCGCATAGGCTTCATTTTTCGAGACCGGAAGTAGCCCCTTGGTTAATACTGATGGACTCTTTACAGAGCAGCCTCTACCATCAGTGTGGAGGTGTGAAAGTGTTTGAGTAATCAGAAGACTAGAAATGATGACTTTCCTTTTCCACATCCGGTGTGAAATGTTCTCTTGAAGAATTAAAAATGTTAAAGGTATGGAGTCAAATTAAATCCCACAGATACTGAAATGTTCTCTGCAGTTTAATTGCCCTTGTCATTCTAGTTAAGCAGTCTGGTGGACATAGAGCTATTCTCCTGGAACATATCATTCTTTATACATTGTATTTTTGTATGTTTGCTTCAAATATGAAAAACTCATTATGAAATGACGTGCGCAGCTCATACTGAAGAAAGTGGGTCTAATTATCCATCCTTGGATGAGGATAGAGATTACAGTGACAGATGATAATGTGACTTTCGTTTTGGCCTGATGAAACTGACTGACAGATGACTTTTTATGAACAAAATGAATCTTTTAATATGTGGAGCTGGTGCAGTGTTTCTGATGAAACAAAAACAAAAGCATATTTGTGTTTCCTGCATTAACCTCATGGTGACAGTAGAGGGCAGTCGACAAAACAGGGAGATGTCAACGGGGCAGAAACCATCTGGGTCTACCTGCACATCTGGAATATGTGGAGTGAATTCATTTCTTATCTCTTACAAACTGTGAGGTGATATTTCTAAGCAAGTGTTTTTGTGAAGCTTTTGTCTCTGTTTTTATCAGCGTTTAAATGCTGCTCACAGGTCTTAAGGGATGTTCCTAATCTGAGCAGGACCTTTGACCTTAATGACTTCAGCAAAATAAAAAGTCTGAATAGGTTGCAGCTGCTGAAAGGTATAAATTATGGACAAACCATTTTTGAATCGCTGCAGCTGATTTCTGAAACTGCAGCTGAAAAGGGCTCCAACGGCTGCAACCCCAAACCCCCCGCAGACAAAAGATCCCGGTCAAAGAATGTCCTTGACGAGTTCTTGTTTTCACTGACGGGCTCAGATTGTTACCCTAGTTCTTCTGCACTAGTTCACACAGCAGCCTTCAAAGAAAAAAGAAGCCCGTTTGCTCGTCTCAGTATTGCTTGATTCGATGCTAAGGCTAAGAGACGAAAAGAAAACTGTAACAAAACACCGGACTAGAGTAAACACTGGACCTTGTCAGTCCACTTCTTGCTGCATTTGAACATAGACTGTAAAAATATTTGAAATAAATTTGAAATGTAGGGAAACAAGTAGCACGTTTTGATTGAATAAACCTTTATTTAAGTTTTAAGAGCATTTCTTGCTGGTCAACAAATGCATGCAGTGGTGATTTTAGAGTCGGTCAGGGCCCTAGGCAAAAATCTATTCAAGTGGCCCTCGAACCAACATTCATCACCATCATCAGAATCAGAATCGGGGTTTATTGCCAAGTACATTTACACATACAAGGAATTTGACTTGGTGTATTGGTGCTAAACAATTAACAAGGAAATAAAGCAGAACTAGCAACAACTTAAATAATACAGTATAAGAACATATTACATATATAAAATAGAATTTAAAAATGTAAAATATAAAAAATAAAAATCACAAAATGTACAAAAGATGTAATGTAGGAGCTGTGCAGTGGACTATGAGAAAACATCTTGTGTCCGCCTGTGCCCCGACGCTTACTCCTCTTCCTGTTTTTTTCCTCTCTCCTATAAACGGATAATTCCTCTTCATTTTTCATTGTTGACTGTCATTGACAAACTTTGCTTTTCACAGAAATCATGCATGCAACGCTTAGCAGGGCAACTAGAGGGAGTGCTGTCAGGTGGGGCCCCTTTAGGGAGGTTTCCTACTGTCATTGCAAAATTTTGCACATTGCTTCGGTTTAAAGTTTGTGAGCCCTCATGGGCCCCTTACTGGTCTGGGGGCCCCAAGCAGTCGCCTGCCTTGCTTCTTCTTGACAAGCAGCACCTCTGAATGCATGTTGTCTATGGAGAGGAGGCGTAACAGCAACATGTGTTTTACCACTGAGTGACGAACATTTTCACCAAACCTACTTGTTGCTTTAATGTTTCAGCTGAATAATCAAACAGGATGCAGAGTGAAGTTTAGCAGACTGATGCTTTTTGACTGCACCACAGAATGGCAGCAAACTGTTATTTAATATTACTCAATCTGCAGCCATCAAATTCATCTAGGGTCATTAATGGAGAACATTTGGCAAGAACCTCCAGGCTCAAAGGAGGCTGTACTTTTTACTGTATTTGTAAGGGAAGTAGTGAAACAACTTTGTCATCGTCGTGGTGCCTCCCACAGGGAGAGGAAGTGTCCTGGTTTGACAGAGCGTGGTTTCCACTTGTTCCCTCGCGACTACAGGAAGTGACATGTTATACATTTGAATATTCAGAGCCTTGCTGGAAAAATTCAAACTTTGACAGATGACAAATGTCTGCAAGCAAATGGAAAATAATCAAATAACGTTCTAATGAGACATTTGACAGAATGAATCAGGTTTTTTGTAATAGAGTCAAAAACCAGGAAGCAGATAGCGACCTAGTCTAGAAGGGTCTGGGTTTCTTCACGGGCCCTCCTACCCCACAGGCCCTGGTGTAGTCGCACTGCACCTTTTATATTTATGACATAGAAACAGAAAACAGGTTTGAAAGGAGTCTGACTTTGATCTCTCATGAGGTTGTGTTAAATCCTCCTTATCTGGGTTTATGGTATTGTAAAGGATTCATTTTAAATACACACCTTTACTCACCAACGGATGGATGTAAAGTATTCTGAATAAAGACTTATCCAAGAGTCATATCAAGATGTTCCAGAGGTCCAGCATGTTGTAAAAGTGACACACACACACACACACACACACACACACACACACACACACACACACACACACTCAGAGGAAGTAACACATACTGTATATTTATATAGAAAGAGACTTGGAAACGTTTCCTCACAGTCTGTTTAGTCCCCGTACAGCAGCAGCTGGATGGTGAGTAAAACCTTGTATCGTACTTCTGTTCAAGAGTTTTCTTTAAGACGTTTCCTCCAGATGTACAAACTGTCTATTGTTTGTTGTATACACTTTTTTATTGAGGGAAGACACTGATTTTATATTCATCTATAACTAATAATTAAAAAACTGTACAACTCAAATGAATAAGAAAGGCGTTCTGTTCAGCTATCAGTGATTGACCTCGTTTCAGTATTGTTTTATCAGCGTGAGCAATCGGACTTTGACAGCAGTGATTAGAAGCATTAAGTTTGTTCGGTTTAACTCAGCTTGTAGTCGTGTGCCTCAGTGTGCTGAAGACATCAAGGCCCAGTTTTATAAAAGTTTTCATGAGCATGGTGGTGATATGGAGCATGGATTTACCAGTTCTTTAATCTGAGACCCTGTTAGACATCTGGACCCGGTCTTTCAATCGAATCCAACAGGATTAAAGCTGGTAGGATGAAACCTTAAAATCAGAAAAATAAGATTGTTGACTCGGGATAAAATCAGGTAATCCAGTCCCGGTTTGACTCTGATCCTGTGTTTGATCATGTCTATAAACCCCTCTATTTCAGCCCTGCTGAACAGGCTGTTTCTGTGTCTGTACCTTTAAATATGTAAATGAGCTGTGTCTGACCACGCCCCCTCTCTGGAAGGGCTTGGGTGTCTCGGGCTTTCTCGCTCCATGTCCTATTGTTTACGGTGAGAAGGCAGACTCAGAGGGCAGAACAAACACAGTGAGCTAAAATATGTGATCCTGGGTAGAAAAAAAGTAGTTGATTACTAAATTTGGATCAATGTCTGGATGAAACCTTTTGAACAACTGGACCCATTTGTTGGACTTCTCATCTAAACTTTGAGCTCTTGATTAAAATGATGATCTTTTTTTTCTGGATCAGACCTTTTGAAAAACCCGACCAAGAGGATTTGATATGACAGCTCACAGTTTGATCTGAATCTGACAAACTGATAAAAACACTACTTCAGTGAGAGCACAGTAAACGTGTAGATTAGTGTTGATAAACTTTCTGATGCTCTTTGATTTCAGACTTGGTTTGTGGGCGCCCTCTAGTCACAGATGTCACCTGCAGGCTTTAGTTGTCTTCTCTTCATCGCTGTCCTAGTTTGTCACTGGGTGCCAGCAGGCTGCTATGCCAACGGCAAAGTCGCCAAAGCTTGTCATGGCATGGAGCCAAGCCATCATGCCCGCGGTCAGTTCAGTCCCAGCCCCTACATCCTCACGGTCAACGCCACCACATACGGACCAGGAGACCAGATCCTAGGTAACACAGTTTGTAAAGCAATGAAACACATTTATGTTAGAAATAAAAAATCACTCTAAAAGAAGGAATCCAGCATGTTTTAAAAAATCAATTAAAGATGAAATCTGTCTAAAAACAGGCTTCTGCTAATGAGGACAATAAGTTGTAATAAATAAAATAAGTTGTTAAGTCATTCTTAAATGTTTTGATTTGTCTCTTTGTTATCTCCTTTTTCAGTCGTCCTCTCTGGAAGCACGTACTTTACAGGCTTCTTGCTTCAGGCAAGAGATACACCCAGTCAGGGCTCAGCATCCATAGTGGGTACCTTCACCCTGATGGATCCAAAGAGGACTCAGCTGCTCACCTGTAACAAACTCAAGGTAAACATGCACATAGACACAAAGTTACTTACTGTACATTAAACAATGCTGTTTTGTAAATTACTTAAATAAGAGTAATACAGTAAAAAAAAGTAATTATTCACAATCCTAAAGTGATGCACACAAATGAGATATCAAAATAAACATGTTGTTGAAATTAATATTTCATCCTCTGCACTCGTTAGTAAAGGGGCACCACTTCCTTTGCATGCTTTAAAGATGTGTTTTTTACAATGGCCGGTAGGGGTCAAACGCTCAGCAACTGATGAAACGACATACATTTAGAAAAACATGCAGCATATATAGAAACGCTGCACATTCAAATGCAAATGCAAACTACCACAACAAATGCAAAGACTGAAATGCACTGCAAAGACACAAACGCGCTGCAAATATGCAAAACAACTGCAGAAGCATCAAACGCGCTGCAAGTACAGAAACGAAACTTAAGTCAAAACTCACACAACCAGAAAACAACTGCAAACACAGAAACGCTGCAAGTTAATCCTTAAATGGAAGTGCTCCAGGCCTGTAGGGGCGCTGTGGATCTGTTTATTTACCTGAGAGAGTAAGACAGACAGCTAGGAACAGAAAATTATGTTTAGATAGGGAAGTTGTATCGTTGAAAGACACAAGATAACTTCAATGTTACTGAAACGCAGAGATAAAGCGAGTCCGACCGGGATTTTGACATCGGGGACGAAAGCCGAGTGTGGGTCTGTGGCTGTTGCCCCGGGATGCCTGGAGCTAGTGCTAGCTCTGGGGCTATGAGCTCCAGATGCAACTCATCCCTCTGCACCCGCTTTACCAGCCTGACACTTCGTGCTTTCGCCATCCCCGGTGTCCAGGTTGAACTTGCTACTCATCTCTTTGCTACAGTTTAGCATTCTCCCTGTCATCA